TAATAAAAAGTCTAAAGTAAAATATTAAGTATTTTTAAAATAAAGTTTTTTTCTTCTGTATATTCAGAAAAGAGCAACAGAGCAAAATCTACTATGAACTTATGAATATTTTAAAATGTTGGAAACTGTAAATGAAAAACAGAAAGTCTAATGAAGTGCTCTCTCTCCCCATCAACGGGTCAGAAATAACACAATGGCTTTTCTATTATTGTATCTCCCACAGGCTTTTCCTTGCCAAAGCCAAGAAACCTCAAGGAAATACAAAAAACATTTAAAACACTTTCTTGACTCCTCCAATCCTAATTCCAACAAAAAACTTGTAGGAGTTGGCTTCAAATTTAGGCTTGTAATGAAATGTGAATTCTTAAAATATGGAGATTGGCTGCTAGCTAAATTCCTTTGTGTCTAAAATTAATGATGGAAAATAAAATATACTGAAATGTTTAAAATGTGCTTCTTTCTTATTATAACAAGCGAGAGCTAGCATAATAACCATTCTTTCTAAAATGGGCCTAAACCCCTCCCTCACCTTTAAAAAAATGATTCTAGGTAAAGAAGTAACACTTGTGCCTTCATTTTTACAAATTATACATCATAAGACATAACCTTTGAAAAAATCTTAAAAATGCCCCCAATAATGCAGTTACTATGGAAACTAGTTCTTTGAAAAGACTCAAATCCTTGAATCTGAACAGGGAAACCTCATCATCTTCTATACCTTCCTCTCCTCATAAAATTTATCCTTTAGCATAAGATAAATTCAATAGAAAAAGATCTACCCCATTAACCACACAAAATCTATTCTTTTGGCTCAATGATTATTTTTAAAGTGTATGTTTTCTGATATCTTTTCTCTTGGAATATTGTCCAACAAAACAATAGAAATCAAATTCTACTTTTGATTATCACTCAATGTCAAATTTCCCTGTTTTTTGCTTTTTGGTAAAAAGAAAATTAGTGATATAAATATTTAATATATATCAAAAATACAAAGGTTTTTTAAAATTTTATGGATATGATAGATATATAACCAATGGTCTCTCTAAAAAAAATGCTTGGTTTTTAAAAATTTGACTGTGGGGACATGAATCAAGTTCAGTGAGTAAACATCTCTGTTATATGAACAAAAAGCCAAACACATTCCTAATTGATACTTGTCCATTACAACACCCCCACCCGAGGGATCACAAGGATTTCTCTTAGAAAGATTTTCCATGAAGAAAGACACACATATGTCAGCTCTAGAGAGCAAAGAGAATTCTATTTCATTTAATGATAAATTCCATTTGTGTAGCAAGTTAAGAGTTTGTAAGGGGATTCCATGTATATTATACTCTATTTAATCATTACAACAAATTTGTGAAGTAACAGAATATATACTATTATCTCCACTTAAAAGGTGTGATTCTGCCTGAGGGGATGGGAGGAAGGCCAAGGCTGAAGATGAAAAGATGAACAGAAGTGGGAAACAATAACATTTCCACCACTCACAAATCACACAGCCTTGGGCAAAACACATAATGGGATAACTGGAATTCTCCTAAACATAAACAATAAGATAGCTTAACTATTACCTCTGGGAAGTCTCTACTGGGGGCTGGATTAGGGACTTGTGATGTCCGTAGGCTATTATGATGCCCTGCTTATTTTTTTGTCTTTTTTTTTTTTCTATTGTGGTCAAAAACACACAGCATAAAATTTACCATCTTAACTACTTCTAAGCATACAGTTCAGAAGTCTTAAGCATATTCACACTGTTGTGCGATCAATTAATGCTTTTTTACCTATTTCCCCTACTAGATCATAAATGTTTAAGGGCCAAAATGTTATTTTGTTTGTTGCTCCGTTTTTAGTGCCTAGCACAATTGATACATAAACAATTCTCAGTAATACTTAATGAATGCATGCTTATTCTATCTGCCTGTTCATGCACCTACCTCCCCATTCATCTACCTACTTAATTCAGAATTCGAATTGAGATGTTTACACAGAGGTGTATATAAATATGTTAATTTAAGTCAAAACGTTTTCTAACTTGGCTGACTGGTTTTCCAGTTAGGGGTATGGCAGATATTGTCTATCAACTGGATGAGTGTAATCTGCGCTTCCAAGATTAAAAAATAACAACAAACATTTAAACAATGTCATAAGATAAAGCATTTCGTCAAAAGATACTCATTAGCAAACGTGCACTGAAGTTACCGCTATCTTGATTTTCCTGTTTCTTGAACTAAACAAGGAGCATCTGAAATTAAGCATCCTATGATTATGATTGGTCCTACTTAAGCTTTTTGGTAGACTTACTGTCCATAAACAAAGAAAGTGAATGATTCCAGTGATTAGTTAACAAATCCTTTCTTCATTTAGTTTAATATTTTACTTTCTTCACTTTATTTTCAACTCTTTGCTTTCAATAAGAAAACTTGATAGATTAATCAAAATAATTACTGATGATGGACTACTGTGCAAATTTTTTTAGTGTATAACTGAGGATTTGTCTAGAAAATTGAGTGATGCGCGCAACAATAAAACTTCCACTCTCATGAATGCAGCTATTTAACAAGGTTTCTCAGAGTTTACCAATACAAAAACTGCAAAATGGAACAGAATAAGTAATATAAATTTATCTCAATAAGAAATGTCTATGTGATAATTATTAAATTTTGTAATATATTTGCAATGTTACTTTGACCAGCTATAAATAATAATCAGGGTAATCATAACAACAACACAGAAAAATCTCCTAGCATCTTCTAGTAATAGGAAAGAAATTTCAATTTACATATATATGTATCAGACAAAAGTCATTAAAACATAAAAATACAGTACATTCAAATAAAATCCAGTGGAAAAGAGATGTAAAAGTTCTGACTATTATAGAGTTGCTTCATTAAAAAAAAATCATGGTGAGTATCATGCTCTTCTATTTAGATTACTTGGACACATTTAGTACAAACATTTTAGCAGTTTTGTTTTAAAATGTGAATATTTAGGGGCACCTGGGTGGCTCAGTTAGTTAAGTGTCTGACTCTGGCTTAGGTCATGATCTCGAGGTTTGTGAGTTCGGGCCCCACATTGGGCTCAGCACTGATGGCTGAGAGCCTGGAGACTGCTTCGGATTCTGTCTCCCTCTCTGTCTGCCCCTACCCCATTCACACTGTCTCTATCTCTCAAATATAAGTAAATATTAAAAAATAAATAAATACATAAATAAAATGTGAATATTTAAAATGCACTGTAAAAAAAAAAAAGCCAGATGGGGGTTGCCTGGGTACCTCAGTCAGCTGAAGTGACCAACTTCAGCTCAGGTCATGATCTTGTGGTTCTTGAGTTCAGACCCCTTACCCTGCTCTGTGCTGACAGCCTGGAGGCGAGGCTGGACCCTTTTTCTATTATGTATTTCCCTCTCTCTCTGCCCCTCCCACACTCTCTCTCTCAAAATAGATAAACATTAAAAACAAATTTTTAAATACACTGTAAACTACATTTTAAAAAATTATTTAAACTTAACATGAAATTTTCAGATATAAATTTTAAAATGTCAGAAAATATAGTTTAAATAATAGTTTAAAATAATAAAAATGATAAATTAATTATATAGTTTTAAAAATCCTTTAAAGGGATACATGAATAAAAGAAAAAGAAAAAGTCTGATGACCACAATACTATCCAAACCACTGCTTTTGGCTTTAGGTTATTAAATCAGTGTGAAGCCAGTGCAGTTTGAGGAATTCAGATTTTCAGCTTCAAACTGAATAGTACCAGTATAAAGATATGTTATGTCCTAATATATTCAACCAAAACAACACTGTTACCCAGGATGGGAGAAAACTAAAGGGTTCTTAAGGCATAGGGTACCATGTATCTTATAACTTCTCTAGTCACAACCTTGTGAATCATGATGCATGCCCAGACTCAAGAATAGCATCCCTCAGCAAGAGTTAAAATTATGGGAGCTTTGAGGATGTGCTTCCCTCACCGAGGCACTTAGCTAAATTATATCATTTAACAAGAGTGCCTATATAGTGATAAAATTATTGGCTGCATTATCAATATTACTGTAATAGCAGAATCTACTGTAAAAAGTGAAAGTACATTAAAAAGTGTTCTACTGGACCAAACTGTAAGCCTCACACAAAACCACTGCTCCAACCTTTCAAGACCATCAGACATATTTTTTAGAAAAGTAGCTAAGAGGTACTAGCTAAGGCTCCTAAAACACAGTGTCTCAATTAAGAAAAAAGTCACTGAAAAAAATTTACTGAAGTATTTAAAAATAATTACAATAATTTCAATAAGTAACATTTTTTTTTTACTACCCAGTCTCTAAGGTGTGGGCTGATACTGATTTAAAAAGACAAAGATGGAATGCATTTTAGTAAAAGAAAGCAAGATCTTTGATTGACAGTTCTTGGAAAAAGGTTAAAAATTCAAAAGGACTGACTGCATGTGGCTCAGAACCTAAAAGCTTTTTTCTCCTCCCAACAGAAGAGCAGTCTCAAGTAATAATTGGTTGCTATGGAGATAAGAAACTAGAGAGATCAGAGAACTCAATTTGCAGTTAAATGGGCTGGAAACAATCCTTACTACTTGGTGAAGGAAAGCGATTAAAAATATACATGATTGCCAGAGGGAATCTTTTTCACCTAGCTTTTCCTAACCTCATTAATGAACAAGAAGGCTAAAAACAAAACAAAGCCAAAAAAACCAAAGGAAAGTCCAAGGTGTGTAAGACAGAGCACACTGAACATAATTCAGGATTTCACATATCACAAATCCTTCCTATTCTGGATGACTTTGATTCTTTTTGATGGTATTTGTTTGTAAATGCTGGAATAAGACTAAAATTGTGTTCAAGAACAAACTGGTATAACTGAGAGGCTGGAACTTCAGTGGAAAAAAAGAGCATGGTCAATGGAAAAGTAACCAGAGTTTGAAACAGATTTAAGTAGTAAAAATCGAGGTTTTGAAAAATCTCTTCACAGTCAATTACAGAATACCTTTGTGAGTGCTGTAAAGGGCTGCAAACGTCACCGTGAAGAAAGTTGTTGAGTATTTCCCAGCATTAACTAAATGAGGAAAGGCCCTTTTTGTGTCTCGGTATCGGCGCAGGCACTGGATGAAGCGAAGCCAAGCAGGAATGCACTGAACAATGGCCCGTACACCATATGAATATTTGTGGCATATTTCTGGTTCTGTGAAGATTTCAAAGAAGAATTACAATTTTAAAAAAACACACCAAAACTTGATTACATCATGTCATCATATATTGCAACCACTCTCAAATCCATAAAAGCAAGAAGCCTGGGTTTCTGAATCATTTTCTTTTTTGTAACTATTATATTCTCAAACTTTTCATGACAGATAAAAGCCAAGAAAGGAAGGTAAATACATAGGGTAGACCTATGGGGATAATTTGCCCTCTCAGATTTCTAACAACCTGTTCTGGAAACACTTTCTTTGGAATGTGGTAAAACTATAAGAAAATTAGAAGATGAATACAGTAATCAAAGGAAAAAAAGTCATTCTGTAATTTGAAATATATGGAAAACATACAAATACCACTAGTGACTAGTTAATTTAATGAACTCCAAAATACTATATCACAATACGTAGAACATGTACCTCATTAGCCTTCTTTTTAATGAAGAGCAGAGTTTATATCTACAATGACTTTCTCTAAGCACTTGACCTAACTCTAAATAATCAAGTATTTTTGATCATTATAAAGCAATACTGTGACGGAAACTATTGGCACTAAAGCATTTGTGATATAACTACCAATATACTAGAATTTTTTACTTTTCTTTTTTTTTTAGTTTTAGAATTCCTTAAGTGTAAGTTGCAAATCTCTTGGCAAATGGATGACTGAAATCATAACATTTAATTTAAGAGCCAAATTATATCAGATAAAAAGATTGCTAAAAGAGTGCCAAGTACATTTAATTAAGTTTGTATTATTGGATGAGTTTTCACCGTGATCTTACATTTCTTAGTTATCATTCCCAATATTTCTTGGTTTACACTGGCAGTTTAGAGGTACGGATGCACATTCATACCCTACCTTCTGAATTATTTGGCAACAGGCCCCCACTTTCATCCCATCTGAGCTCAAAACTGTAGAAGCAGATCATATATTCCAGGTCCATCAATATCACTGACAGGCTGTTCAGCTGATCGGCCAGCCAGAAATCAGCAAAGCCTACCTTATGGAAGGGGGCTGTAAATACTCGAAACTGGGAGAAAGAAAAAAATAAAAAAACACAGAAACAAGAAAGTTCATATTAAATTTCTCTTAAGTCATGCCCGACCATGCAGCATGATTACTTTAGCTGATAAAATGGAAACCAATGAACCAATCATAAACACAGGGACCTAGCAACAGTGGCAAGGTTGAGAATTAGTAGTGAACAGAATGAGTTGAATAAAAACCTAAGAAAGGAAATTACAGTGGGGTGAAGGCGGGAATAGCTATAGTTAGAAAACAGAAAGCAGAGAGGGTGGGCGGGAAGAGTTGAAGCTGAAAGCAGACAGTGGCAGAAGGTAGAAGCTCTGAGAGGATGTCTAGTGTTAGGATCCAGGGTAAATTCTGCTAGAACCCATGTGCTATGATAATTTCTAGAATATCCTCCTTCTTAACTGGGATGAGAGCTTAGCAGACTGAATAGAAAGCTCTTCTTTGCCTACAAGGGATAAGGAGGGAAGGATGGTACAACACCTGAAGCATGTCTGCCTGTTCTCTAACCAAAGTCACTTTCATTTCACTAAATGCCATGGTAATAATTGTATCTGTCTTGAAATTATGCAACAAAAATAAGCCCACACCCCACTATTATAAAAACAGTGTTAAATGAATTCAGATTAAATGTATGGAGCACTAATCCATGCTGCACATTTTTTTCAAAATGCATTTTTCATAATCTATTAACTACAACAATTCTATGAGCTTAGTACTATTCATACCCCCGTTTTACAGAGGACCTACAGGAAACCCATCCTGACCTATTCTGCGGAAGACTGTTTACTACTGCAAAGGGAGATCTCCTGGCATTGCAGAGAGAAGATGGATAGATACTAATGTAATCATCAGAAATAGGTTCCAATCGTGCAGAATGCCGTGAGAGGCACTGAGAAAAGTGAAGATGGAATTATTGCAGCTTTAATCTTCACCCTGTCAGACCCTTTCTATCTTAAACAGGTAAAAAAAAAAAAAAAATGAGCTAAAGCAAGAAATTTTGACTAAGCAGCAGTTTTGAGAAAAGGAGGCTAAATCTATAGCTCTCCTACCATCTAACTATACTCATTTAGCAGACATATTCAGCATGAAAAAAAAAATGGCTCCTTCCCCTCAGACTTGGCTGATTCTTTCTATTCTACCTCTAAACATTTCCCTTCATTATTTGAGGGAGATATACAGCTGTATCATGAATCCATCTGGATATAAATTATCTATGACAGGTATTGCCTTGGGGCTTTGGATGTTAGATCAAATATCTGCAAGACCTAGTACAGGTTTTGTGATATTTTCTAGAGCTGATATATTTTGAGACCATGGCTCAGTTTCTTGATCATTCTCTTGCTCTTTCAAGAAGTGTGCAATAAGCCTAAGAGATAAGCTATACTGTCTGCAATCATAAGGTTCAGATACAGCAAACTCTTTTTGGTAGGGGGTGGGGGCAGGGTGAGAACTGGGGGCTTAGTGGTTGAGATGTTAGTCATTTATGCATGAAGAGGTTCTGATGCCAGTTTATATATAGTACTTTAAGAAACTCTGGGGTCCAGAGTGGACTTTAAAAATTCAAAGAGACAAACGAGGAGAATTTAGAACATAACACCAAAAGGATCAGGAAGTCTAACTCAATCTCTAGTCATGGACTTTTGTGAAAATTATAGCCTAGGGCAATTTTCTTATTTCTCATGGACGTGAAGCAGACAACCATTACTCTCATAATCTGTCAAATTCAGCCTCAAAGCTAGCTAATAGAGTAAACCTCCATATGAGAAGAGGAAGAGAATGCACAAAATAAGAAAAGAGGGAAAAGGGGACTACAAAAGGAAGGGCGTGGCATGAAAACAGAAACCAGAAGGAACGGGACATTTATAGAAGAGAGCAGATGGAAAAGGGAAGAGGAGGGAGTAGTAAATGTTGGTATAATACAACTAATAAAGGAATGAATATAATTGTAGTCATTCAGCATTTAACAAAGATTAAGTATTACTATATGACAGGCACTGTAGAAGTACAGAGATAAATAAAAGTTTCTACTGTCAAAGACCCACAGGTTGGTTGAGCAAATATATATCCAAGGAAATAGTGACAGCACTGTGTAGTAAGTGCTATTACAGATAAGCATGCAAAATACCCTAGAAATACAAAGAAGGGAGGGAAGGAGTAGCTGCATCAGAGACAGGGTAGGGGTGAGTTCATACTGAATTCCCCGATATTTACACATAGTCAAATTCATCTCAAATTTATTTGAATTCCCCTTTAGTGGGAATTCTCTTCCTTTCTTATTCTGGCTAAGGTCTTTCAATTTCTACATTGTTGTGATTTTGCTTAAAATGATAATGACTCACCCAGTAACAGTATTAAGAAAGAGTCAATTCAAAATATCTGATGTTTTACTCACATATACAAAAAAGCCACTAATAAGTTATTAGAAAGGATATGTACTAACATCATTTTCTAAGTGAATGCAGATAAATATTGAAGAAGATGAAGTTTAATTTCTACTTCTAGAGGCTTGCGAATAATCACACTCTTTCAATTTTTATATTCTATTAGTTTGAAACACTAGATCAAAGTTAAGCATCTTAGATAAAACGGCTACCAGGTTTAATTGCTAAATGGTAGTAGTTAAGAGTACAGATTATGAAATCAGACTGCCTGGGCTCATATTTCATCTTCATTACTTACTGGCTATGTATTTTAACTCCTCTGAACTTGGGTTTCGTCATTTCTAAAATGTGGATTAAGAGCAGCTCCAACCTCATGGTTTAGTAAAAGGATGAAATAAGTGACACACATAAAACGCCCAGAACAACACGTTATTAAATGAGAATATTATTTCTCTATAACCACAGTAGAGACATTTGTAAAAATTTTACTATAAAACAAAAGAAAATATTGAAAAAATCAATTCCAAAAATATACAGGAAAGGGCTTTAAGTTTTAAACTTTAAGTAGCCTTCCAGAAGAACAGATTGATTTTTTTGTTTAGAAAATCTGACGTATCGCTTATGTTTCCCATTTTGACTTCTAATTAGGGCAAATATAGATCTATAGAAGATTTATGACCTAAGTAATGCAAAAAAAAAAAACTACCTAATTTGACATATAAGTATTAAAATAAATTTATTTTTAAAATTGTTTTAAGTTTATTTATTTTGTGAGAGACAGTGAGTGGGGGTGGGGAGGAAGAGAGAATGCCAAGCAGGCTCCACTCTGACAGCACAGAGCCCAACATGGGGCTCGAAGCCACAAATGGTGAAATCAAGAGTCAGACGCTTAACTGACTGAGCCACCCGGGCACCCCTAAATAAATTTCTAACAAAACTTTTTAAGGTTTTTTGCAGGAGGTGTAGAGCGTACAAATTCCATAGATTCAAATTTAAGTGTGGATATAAATGGCATCCAATGCCTACCCACTATGGCCAAATGATACATGTTCTTTTCAACTAAAAATTAAAGAAGGAAAAGTACCTTTACTTTATGATAAGGCTATTAAAAAAAGCTGTATCATGGGGCACCTGGGTGACTCAGATGGTTAAGCAGCCGACTTTGGCTCAGGTCATGATCTCACGGTTCGTGAGTTTGAGCCCCATGTCCGGCTCTGTGCTGACAGCTCAGAGCCTGGAGCCTGCTTCAGATTCTGTGTCTCCTCTCTCTGCCCCTCCCCTACTCACGCTCTGTCTCTCAAAAATAAATTAAAAAACATTAAAAAAAATTTTTAAAAAGCTGTATCAGAGAAACATAACTAGGGTGGAAATATTTTTAACACTAGAAATAAGTCTCAGGGTTAAGTTTTCCAGTAAGACTTGAATTAAAATAAGTCAATAGGTCAATTAATATTAAAATGCTCTATATAAGTAACATTTTCTTGTATACAATTATTATTACAAATACAACAAACCACAATGCTTCTTTCTCCGTTTCACTGCTTCTGATAGTGCACTTTATTATTCGTATTCCTTATTACATCATCATTGCCGACCTATTCTATCCGTTAAGTCCTCATTTATTAACATACAGCAAATGCATCCATAAATGTCTACTCAATGGGGAATCATTTTGCTAATAAGGGTAACTGGTCATGCATGAATCAGCTTACTATTTAAACAGAGAAGGGTGCACTGGGGAAATGTTCACTTAACACACAGTGATATTATTCCGTTATTGCAATGATGCAATCATACTAACACCTGAGTTTTCTGAATCTTTGAAACCTCATTTCAAAATAACTTTATAGAGATTTTACAACAATTGAGCCAGGAAATAATAGATACTTATAATCTTAACATTATTTCCTTGAAACCAGAAGAATACTATATTTTTGTGCAAATAAGTTTTAAAACTCCACAAAATCTAGCAATAAAATGACAATCTCAAAATATAAAAGAGTAATCTAATTTTGTTGTAATAACTGGAAATGATTTATTTTTAATATAAATTTCAAGAGAGAAAAAAATGGTTATAATATTTCTTCTTACAAAAATTCCTTCAAAAAGCATGTGTTCCAGCTGATGACAAAATGTATTAAAAAGTGATTACATACTTAAGACTTTTCAAAATACTCTTGTATATCTAAGTTCCACACTTAGGCCCACAGTTAAGCCTAATGGTGCTATACTTAACAGGAATGATTTGCTCTCTTATTTATTAATATTTAATGAAATTAGAGGATAAGAGGGATTTTCTCAATTTGTGAATAAATTCCTACTGGAAGAAATAAGAAATACAAATAAATAACAATTGACTTTGGGGAAAAAAACATGAAGGAGATCTAGGACATCTTCTTTTCCTGATTGCTATAAATACTTATCTGTACTAGAATATAAGTGGCTTTTTACTTGTTGCATGCTTACTATGTTTTTAATAGGAAGGCCATATTTTATGTCTTCAGATTTAAAAAATTTAAATAATCCTATATTTAGGGAATGTACTGCTAAGAACAAACAAAAAAAAATGTTCTGCTAACTCTAATGGATATACAAAAGGAGAAAGAATACTCCAGTTTTTAAGGCAGGAAAAAAGAGTCAGATAACCATTAGATCAATTCTGAAAGTATGTGTAGAGATTAGTCAATTTAATCACTAATCTTCACTTTACTGTTAGTTGTAATGCATAACCTAAGAAATAATTACAGGAGAACATTCCTTAATAATTTTTAAAATAGAGCTGGTTTAATTCAGGAGGAATAAGCAGAAGTCCCTTCCTCAAGCTATCTTTACACCATCACAAAAAATACAGCAACTATTTTTGCAAGAGATTCTATATCCTAATGTTTAAATTGTGTGATTTTGAGAATAAGAAATATAGGTAAAGTGGAAGAAGAAATGAAATTTATTATATTTAAGAATCAAAGTCAGTTTCTCAAATTAAACCTGATAATCTTGTAAGATATTCTTGCTGATTTTAGAGAATAAATCTTTCATAAAATAAAAATGTTTGATTGACTACTTCTATCAATTTGACAGGAAAATAACAGTTTTACCACTTTTTAAAAAGAAAAAAAAGAAATTCATAGAGTTCTATATGTTATCACAGCTGGTTAAATAATCTGTATTTAAAAGCACTTAAATTTATCATGAATTATTAATTTGCAAAATAATTTCAATATATGGATACTTCATACTCCATTTTAGGAGGAAAACAATGCATGAATGAGTATTTTTCCCAGGGCCATTGCACCATACAGTATGAGGTATACCAATTACACTATATTCTTTGCCCGTGGAGCTGGAGCACTACTCACACAGACTACAAAGTGAACCATGCCTTCTGAAGTTGTGCAACAGCAGCCTTGGTTTCCTCCTGGACAAAGCCAATGACCAATACACCACTCTAAAAATGGTAGACAAATTTCTGGACTTACCAGCAGTTTAAGCAGCCAAAACCGGGATTTGTAATAGAAAGTTTTGGTGGGGTTGATAAGAAAGAAAAACATAAATCCATAAAGGACAAGTGGATACACATATGTGGGGATGACACTAAGCGGAGCAAAGAAGCATGCCAGAAGGCTCAGGCACCACAGTATCCCGAGGAATCCAGCAATCTGATAAAGGATGGGAAACATAAGAAAAGAGAAAATTGTTATTTTTATTTTTTCCATTACTCTGAAATATCTTTAATAAAACAAAGATAAATCTTTAGATGTAAGTCAATAATCCTCTTCAAGTAAACGATGGAAATCCAAAGATGGATTTCCTAAACCAGCGATATAGCTAATATGAACTATATTTGTGGGACTTTGCCTTGCTTTGATTACCTCAAAAAGATGTTGATGAGACAAATTGCTTCTTGGATTAAGTTCAAAGATGAGCACATGATTCACTCCAGCCTGTCTCCAACCATATGTGTTGATGCCCAGTAGAAAAAGGAATTCAATCAGAAGAAAGCCACCCCGATAGATTCTTATCAAGGGCCATATATTTCTATCTGTTTCAAGTTTAAATACAGCTGAAAAAAATATCAATTAATTTGTTAGTTAGAAAATTCATAATGTCTCCTTTAATTGTCTTACCTCTTAATTCTCAATGACACAGTTCTTGGCGTAAGAAGTTTTTATAAATAAAATCTAAACCTAAATTATCTCAAGAGCATGATAAACTTGCTTCCAGGTTCTTTCCCTTCATCATCCCATTCTGCAAAATTTCACCAGAATTATTTTCCTAAAACTTCACTGTCAGTATGTTAGTCCACTGTTCCATTAGTTTCCTAGAAATCTAGAGAATCACAGTGAAACTGTTTAGAACCAAAAGATCTGTTCTGTCAGCTAAGGATTTTTGGAATGACATAACTTCCTTGGCTTTTTTTGTCTATCATTAAACTGGTTATAGTAATACCTATCTCACAGAGTTGCTGTGAGGATTAAAAGGAATGGCACACATGAAAGCAACTGAAAATAAAAGCCAGTGAAAACTGAAATGTCACATAAATGATAACAGTTAATTGATAACAGTAACATAGAATGCTTACTAAGGACTAAGTGCTAAGGACTATTTTGTATTATATTTTGACATATAATAATTCATTTTATTTGTTTGTTTGAGAGAGCAACAAAGGGAGGGACAGAGGGAGAAAGAGAGAATCTTAAGGAGGTTCCATGCTCAGTACAGAGTCTGATGTAGAGCCCGATCTCATGATGATGAGATCACAACCTGAGCCGAAATCAAGAACTGGACGCTCAACTGACTAAGCCACCCAGTCGCCCCCTTTTTTAATTTTAATTTTTAAATTTATTTTTAATCTTTATATATAAAAATTTATTTAATCCTCATAATGGTTCTGTGAGTTAAAAACTATTATCTCCATTTGACTGGTGAGGAAATTAGAGCACAGAGAGGTAAAGTAATTTGTTTAGGATTACCAAGCTAGTAGAGGGCAGAGCCAGAGTTTTAATTCAGAGAGGTTTGCTCCAAAACCCACACTCTTAACTACTACATTCTGTTGCCCATATGCCCATACAAATGCGTAGTGTCACTATTACACTTATAGCTTTCCAGTTACTATAACATTCAAACATGGTCTTGGAATCCAAGTTCTTTATCAGTCTGATCTCCAACTCACTTTCCCAAACTTCTCTCACAAGTGCTCCTAAACATTAATTCTATTCTCCTGATGAATTTTATTAGTCTTTTCACAAGTTTGCATTTCATACTTGCTTATATTGTCCTCTGTACCTAAAATGGTCTTGCTCTTTCTTTGTACCAATTCAAATTCCAACTAATATTTTAGAGTGAAATTCTTATCTATTCATAAATTTATTGAATCAGTGTGTTTCATTTTGAGCCGAGTCTGTGCCAAATATTTCAATTTGGCTAATGATTTCTCAATCTTCCAAATAACTATAAAATTTATTAGACTCATTTGAAATTTAATTATATACTGGCTTATACTTAATTTAAATAACCATTTATTAGTTATCTTTGCATTTTCTACAGTACATAGCACATTTAATAATTTAAAAATAACAGGGTAGCAAAAACCTTTGCTTTGGAGTCAAATACTATAGACCAGACTTAAAATCCTAGCTACTTAATAGCAACTTATTTTATTTTTCCAAGTCTGCATTTCCTTGCTGGAAAATGGGGATAATATCTATTCTCATAAGTTTGTCAATAAGATTAAATGTGATCAACATACATTACATGCCTAAAGCAACGACTATTCAGTATATAACAGTTTCTCTTTTCTTTTGCTTGAGGAAACCTTATTTTTTTTATTAGTTTGACAAAAATTTGTTAGGTGCCTATTATATCTAACACATTCAAAGAACCAAAGATTCAGTAATAAACAACAGACAAAATATCTGTCTTCAGGAAACTTCTATTCTGTATAATGTCATATAGTAATAAAGGTTTTGAAGGAAAAAAAGTAGGGTAAGGGGATGAAGAATGATGTTATTAGGTGCTATTTTACGTAGGGTGGTGAAGACGACCTCTCAGGAGATGACATTTGCAGAGATCTTAAGGAAACAGAAAATGAATCATATGAATATATGTACAGGTAAGTCCAACAGGTAAGTACAAAAAGCCCTAAGATAGGTATGAGCCTGGTGCTCCAGAAACAAGAAGAAGGCCAAGACCACTATAAATGAAATAAATGAGAGGTAAAGTGGTAAAGAGTTAGCCAAGAGAAGATCAGGTAGGAGTTTATAGTATTTTGTCAAGACTTAAACTTGTGTCAGTGTCAGGTGTATATAAGTGTCAGGACCAATTAACAGTATTAAAGGGCTATTCCAGCTTTTACATAAAGAGACTACAAAAGATCAAGCATGACAGCAAGGGTAGTTAGATTATAAGTAAACTATATATGGATTTGCATCCTGATTCTTAAGCAAAAACCACAGATACAACAGCCAGAAAACAAAAATAATAAGCATATGTCTCAAAGAATGCACAACCAAACTACTAGGGCTAATAAATTCAGCCAAGTTGCACAATATAAGATCACACACAAAACTTAGTTGTCTTTGTATACACCAGCAAGGAATACCCTGAAATGAAATTAAGAAAACAATTCCAATTATAATAGCACCCAAAAGAATAAAATATCTAGGAATTAATGTACTCCAGGAGGTGAAAGACTTGTACATTAAAAACTACTAAACACTGCTAAAAGAAATCTCATGTACATGGAATTACAAGACTTGATATAGTTAAAATGACAATGCCCAAAGTGTTCTGGAGATTAAATACAATCCCTATCAAAATTCCAATGGCCTTTTAATTTTTTTTTTGCATAAATAGAAAAGTCAATCCTCAAATTCACATGGGATCGCAACATGCCCCAGGCAGCTATAACAACACTGAAAAAGAAGAGCAAAGTTAGAGGACTAATATTTTGTGGTTTAAAAATTTACTAAAGAGCAGTGTGGTACTAGCATAAAAACAAACATACAGACAGAATTGGGCGTTTAGCTATAAATCTATATATCTATGGCCAACTGGTTTTCAACAAGAGTGCCAAGATCATTCAATGGAAAAGAATATTTTCTTCAACAAATGGTGCTGGGATGACTGAATATCCACATGCGAATTAATGAAGCTAAACCTCTATCTCACACCATGTACAAAAGTTAGTTCAAAGAAAGAAAAAAATACATAAATCAGGCTTTATCAAAATTAAAAACTTTTGTGCATCAAAGGACATTATGAAGAAAGACAATCTATACAATGGGAGAAAATACTTGCAAATCACATATCTTGGTAAGGATTTAGTATCTAGAATATATTAAAAAAAAACCCTCTTGTAACTTAACAATAAGAAGACAACTCAAAAAATGGGCAAAGGACTTGGGTAGACATTTTTCCAAAGAAAACATAAAAATAGCCAACCAGCACATGAAAAGATGCTCAAAACCATTAGGGAAATGCAAATCAAGACAATAACAAGATACTACTCCACACCCACTAGTATGGCTGTAATTAGAATAAATAAATAAATAAATAAAAAGGGAAACCACAAACATTGTGGCATAAAGAAAATGGAACCCTCATAAATTGCTGGTGAAAATGAAAAATTGTGCAGCCTCTATGCAAAACAATTCGGTGGTACCTCAGAAGATTAAACATAGAATTGCCACATAACTGACTGATTCCACTCCTAGGTATATACCCAAAAGAAATGAAACCAGGTATCCAAACAAATCCATGTACATGCATGTTCACAGCAGCACAATACACTTTAGCTAAGGTGTAGAAACAACCCAGTATAGTATATGTTCAGTTTTGGTAGATACTACCAAACAGTTCTCCAAAGTGCTATACCCATTTTCACTCATTCATTTGAATGGCTTCATTGTATTTCATTGTACAGGGATAAATAACATAGTTTCTTAAACAATTTCCAACTGATGGACATTTGAGTGGTTTCTAGGATGTTGTTACTACAAACAAAATGGCAGCGAATATCCTCCTTTCGTATATGTCCTTGGCAACCTGTTCAAGTATGTTTATAAGATAAATTTCTTGAAATAAAATTGTTTTACCAAAGTGATTGTATTTAAAAATTTATACTTATACTGCCAAATTATCCTCTAAAGAGATTTAAATAATCAATATTCTTACTATTAGTGTAGGAGTGCCTGCTATTTCACACTCTTATATAAACACATCTTGACATTTAAACATGTTTAAATGGTCAAATTCATATCTTTATCAAACCAAAATAATGAAATATGATATATTATTTTTGTATCAAATTAAGTTAATGGTTACTAGAAATCTATAAGAGAACAATTTTTAAAAAATCGAATCAGGTAACTTTTCATCTTGTCAAAATTAACTTATCTGAAATATGTGAATTTCATACAAATTATTAAATATGAGGTCAAATCCCTTTGAGAAACTATGGCAATTACACACATTATTTTTTTGATGTGAATGAAAAAAGAATCGTGCTTGTACATGAATTACTACTGCTGTGCTCCTCTCTCATCGCTCAACACTGTTATCTTTCAAGTACCCGCTGGGAGACAAATAAGCATAGACAGCTGGCTGTATATTTACTCTGCCTCCCCACACCCCCCACCACCACACACACACAAAGATCAAACAAAGAAGAGTTCTGAGGTGAGAGAACATAATGCAGAAGCCACACACATTAAAAAAATAAATGAGGCTGTCTCATAAAACAGTCTATGTTTACAAAAGAAAACAGATCCTTGGTTTGTCCCTAAATTAAAAAGAAAAATTCTTTTCAACTCAATCACATGAAAAGCATGAAGGTTATTTTTTCTTATTATTTAATGATTGACAATATCACCACACTCATCTTATAAATAAAAAAAATTTTCACACATAAATGAAGTTTTCTTAGAAAGAACAATTCCCATCATGTATCCCATGTAAGTTACACTGATGTCGCCTCTTAGCTCATCTCTAAGAAGTGGTCTCAAGCTATCTTCCATTCTTGTAGGTGAATTTTTCATTTCTCTCCTTCATAACCCACTCCCTCCTTCTATACACCAACCTCTTTCCCCACCAACTAAATCTCTGCTTACCTGTCTCTTTCTCTTGGAATGCCCTTCATTCCATCACATCCAGCATAAATGCCATTTCTTTCATAAAACCTTCTCTGATACTTTCATTTAAAAGTAATTACTTTATTCCTTTGACCTGCTTAGAACATTTAACATTTTCTCTCTTGTAGTATATTATTGTTTTAATATATGTCCTAATCTCTCTGGCATAAAAAACTTCATAAGGAAAGGGATTCTTGTATCTCTCTTAAGCCTCGTATCAAGCTTAATCATAAGATACGTAAAATTTACCTGTTGAATGAATGAATTCTAAAACAACCCTGGAAACCTGTAGTAGTATGATCACTGAACAAATAAGAAAATTATTTAAAGGAAGTTAAATGAGGGGCATCTGGGTGGCTCACTCAGTTGAGTGTGACTTCAGTTCAGGTCATGATCTCATGGTTCGTGGTTTTGAGCCTTGAATCAGGCTCCGTGCTGACAGCTCGAAGCCTGGAGCCTGCTTCAGATTTCTGTGTCTCCCTCTCTCTCTACCCTTCTCTCATTCACGCTCTGTCTCTCTCTCAAAAAACGAATAAACATTAAAAAAAATTAAAAGAAGTTAAATGATATCCTTAAAGCCAAAACAATTAACAAATAGTGGTGTTGAGACTGAAATCCAGACAAGGCCATTGGAAGACAAGTCAGTGTTCCTCCCTTAATAACTAGCTTGATAATCTAGGGCTAGGTTTTTTATTACAATATTTCCATGCAGTCTATAGAAAAAAGACTGCATTGATCTAAAGAAACAGAACTATATTAAACTATGATAATAAATTATACCAATATTAAATCATGAGCTTACAGCGGGCCATAATTATTAGATGTAATTTTCAGTAGTTGGTAGGAAAGAGAATTCTAAAAATACAAATGAAAACACACAGTCAAGAGGTAAAGTTCATATGCTAAGAGCCATAACAACTTGGGTTACAATTTCATAATATATAGTTGATAATATTAATTAAGAATACTGATGAGGAAAAACAACTTCAGTAAATTTTTTCTTAAACATCTGCTGTATGTGTTGTACTGTGTTAGGAACAAGAAATACAAAAATGAAAATACACAGTCTCTGCAACTGAAAATAGTTAAGTGTGACAGTGATAGAAACTTTCCATGTTCAGGCACTATTACGATTACTAAATATTGAAAATAGAATATAATGGATATTATACAATATCATCTTTTTTTAATGTTTATTTATTTTGAGAGAGCAAGCATGCGTGGTGTGTGGAGGAGGAAGAGGAAGAGGAAGAGGAGGGGGAGGGGGAGGAGGAGGAGGAGGAGGAGGAGAAGGAGGCGAGAGAGAGAGAGAGAAAATCCCCAGCAGGCTCTGTGCTGTCAATGCAGAGCCTGACATGGGGCTTGATCTCATGAACTGAACCATGAGTCCATGACCTGAGCCAAAATCAAGAGTCAGATGCTTACCTGACTGAGTCACCAAAGCACCCCACAATACGATCTATTTCTAAGTTATGTTTCTTTGCAGACTTTCCTGAGTAAATTTTAATCCTTTATTAATGATTCAAGTTATCATTATAAGCATAAGTACATATACTCTTGAGGTATACCAGGATTATTTGCCCTCAAAGTAAGAGTCCTTGAATGCAAGAACCTTTGAGATTCGTGTCTGTCTTTTTGCTGTTTGTGCATGTGTTTTTGGTTTATCATTTAATTTTATCTCTGTCCTCTTTCATCCATTCCATCTTCCATCAAAATTTTATTATTTATTTATTTTTAAATATTTATTTTTGAGAGAGAGAGAGAGAGAGAGAGACAGAGTACAAGCAGGGGAGGGGCAGAGAGGGGGAAACACAGACCTGAAGCAGGTTCCAGGCTCTGAGCTGTCAGCATAGAGCTGAGCACTGGGCTTGAACCCATGAACCACGAGATCATGACCTGAGTTGAAGTCAGATGCTTAAACAACTGAGCCATCTAGGCGCCCCTTCCACCAAGAGTTTTTGAGCTCATTCTATGGCCCAGGCAGTATTCTAGGTGCTAGAAATACAATGGTGAACAGGAGACCAAAACCCAGGAATCAAGGAACTTACATTCCAGTGGGAAAACAGATAAAAGAAACATAAATATGTAACATTATGTCATGTACTTAAAAGTGCTCTGAAAAAAACTAATGTAGCCTGAGGGGACAGAACAGGCTATTTTAGGGTACGGTGATTAAGGAAGGCCTTAGTGAAGAAGTGGCATTTGAACAGAGAATGAATGAAATGAAGTGTGTGAATGAAGTGAAAAAGTAAGCCACACAGACACCTTAGGGGAAAAAAGCCGCTTAGGCAATTGCAAGGGTTCACAGATGGGATGATAGTCGAGGAGTAGGAACACCATAAATGTACTTGGAAACACAGTGAGACCAAGTGAACCAGTGCGGGGGGGATGACAGGATACAGTCAGAAAGCCCATTGGGGCAAGACCCTATAGGGTCTTCTAGGCCACAGACAGAAGTTTCAACTTTATTGCAAGAGAAGCCATAAAGAGATGTTGAGGAGGACAGCAATATGATCTAACTTATATTTTAAAAAAAGATATTGGTGGCTATGAGGAGGCAAGAGTGGCTGCAGTGAGTGCAGTGAGACAAGTTCAGAAGGCTGCTGCAGTATTCTAACAGGAAATGGTTGTTAGACAAGGATGGCATTGGTGGTGGTGGTCAGGTTCAAAATGGGTGAAGGGGGTAGAAAGGATAGGCTTCTTAGTTATAGAATGAGTAAGTCACAGGGATGAAGGGTGTTGTATGGTGACAGATGGTAGCTACACTGTGTGACAAGAACAGCATAATGGAAACTTGCTGGATCACTATGTTGTACATGTGAAACAAATGTAACGCCGTGTGTTAACTATACTTTACACACACACACACACACACCCACACACACACTGTTAAAGAAAGAGCAACAGGCTTTGCTGATGGGTTGGAGATGAGAGAAGAGAGAGGCTAAAGGTTTTTGGCCTGAGACTCTGGTAAATAATGATGATATATGGAAAAGAAAGTGTATTTGGGGGTAAAAATCTTTTTGCCCATGTAAGTTTGAAATGCCTATTACATATCCAAACAATCAATTAGATATCATCCAGAGGAGAGAGTAGACATGTGTGAGAGTCACTACCATACAGATAATATTTATGGCCAACAGGCCTGAATAAAATTGCCTGGGTAGGAAATGAATATTGACAGAGAAAGAGACTTGAGGATTTAGCCCAGCAGTACATAGCCCAACATTTAGAGGTCACAAAGAAAAGAATAGCTGGCAAAGGAGACTGGAAAGAACTGTCAGCAAAGTTTAATAAGAAAAGCAGCAGAGGGTGGTTTCCCAGCAAAACCAAGTAAAGAAAGAGTTTCAAGAAGGAATGACCCACAATGTCAAATGCTGCTGAGGGGTATGTCACATTCTGTGGGGAGGTTTGGTAAGATAACGCCTCCCTTGCTGTTACACTGTTTGTAGATGTTGGGAGTGTATTTGCTTCCAGTGATTCCTCCTACCCCTTCCTAATTCTTAACTTTTATAGGATAGGAAATTATACAACCAAGTTTCTTAAAATTATATGGAGTAATTGCAAATATGTTTTGGAAAGAATGTGAGAAAGACTCCAACAAGCAAAGTAAATGAACTTTAGTACATGAATTTCGTAATCTTATTTACTCTCATCTGTGATCAGGGAGTTGAGGTTCTTGATAACTGAACTCTGAAAATGTATAAAGAAATTGTACATAAAAAATAAAAAACAGAGAAAATAAAAGTCATAAACTAGCAATGTTTTAAAGGATAACTATATCCAAAAGGAAAAGCAAACTAAACAAATGACCAAACACTGCTCCATCTCCCCAGTCATTTATAAGAACAAAAAACAGCCTTGACAGATTTCTCTTTCGGTAGCAGCTTTGTTAGTCTGATACTTAGCTTTGACAGAAGGACAGAATATAACATGGGCATATTAGTGAGAATAATTTAACTTAAAATTTTAAATGACTTACCGGCAAGCACAAGGGTAATATTCAGTACGATGAATATTCCACAAAATAGCCCAACTCTAAAAGTAGTCCATGCTGGTGCAGGCTGCAGACAGAAAAACAGCATGCTAGGGACAGGGCAAAACACTGCGTACATTTAGTGCATGTTATAATAAATTAGCACTATGAATCCCAAAGCTCTACCATGAAAACAAAAATATTTCATGAACTGAATTTAATCAGACCAGAGAAACATCCTTCATTCTCTTATAATATTAAGAGTAGCCAGTTATTCAAATCCTTTTACAGAAATGGCAGTTACTAAATACACAAGATTATAATCATAGACATCAAATTATTTATACACTGAGTTTTTCTTATAGGAGAAACCTGAGTGGAATTTCATTTTTACAATGTATACATCTTTAAATTTCATAAGTCACTTACTCAGAGTTCACAGATTTGGTAGTAAGAACCATGGAGACAGTGACAAGATCAACAATTATTTTCTATATTACTTACGCTTTTAATACTGGGATAAAGTGAATTTTTATTTATTTAATGTTTATTTTTGAGAGAGGGAGAGCATGAGTTGGGGGAAGGGCAGTGAGAGAGAGAAAGAGAGACAGAAGATCCAAAGTTGGTTCCACGCTGACAGTAGTGAGCCTGATGTGGGACTCAAACTCACGAACTGCAAGATCATGACCTGAGTCAGAGTTGGATGCTTACCCAAATGAGCTAGCTAGGTGCCCCGAAAGTGAATTTTTAAAGACATAGTAGAGATACTCTAGAGACTGGTATATCTGAATCTCCATAGTGTACAGGTTCAAGAAATATTTTTCTCTGTTTTAATGAAGATTTATATTTAGAAAGTGGTAATCTTATTGAAATCAACTGTTTTCTAATATAAAAGAAAGTACCTGCTATTTTAAAAGTAAAGGAATGAGAAACATGGGAATGAGAAAATACTGTGAATTTAAATTTGGCAATGAGTGTTATAAAGAACTTCTGTTGTTTTCAAAGGTGATATTACATTTAAGATGGCTTAAATGTTTTCTAAAAACCTTTAAATGAAAAAAAAAAAAAAAAGCCACTGGACTCCCTCTGACTTACATATTAACCAGTAACAGGTGTCTGCAATTGTTACTTTAAGACTGAAAGCATCCAGAGGGAAGACAGTCATTTGCATTTAAAACATTTTTTTCTTTTGTTTAAATCACTGTATAATTTGTCATAGAGAAAAGAACACATATAATGTATTTGAACTGTTAAGGAACTGAATAATAAAATGTACCTATACTTATCACTCATCTTCAGAAACAGAACAACGTTGAAATCCCTAACCCTTCCAGATCCATAAACCTTCCCTCCGCACCCTTTCCACATTTTCTTTAGCTTTACCAACTCTTCATGCATTCAGAAACACCTTAATTTCTTGAGATTTTCTTATTATTTTTAATAGGGAAATATAACAGACATATATTAAAGCATACATATTTAAAATATCTAATTTGATGTTCTGATATAAGTAAACACTGATGAAACTATCACCATAATCAAGACAATGAACATATTCTATCACCCGCCAAGAATTCCTCATGCCCTTCTGTAACACTTTTCCTCTTACTACACCCATCCTACCCTCAGACAATCATGGACCTGCTTCCTGTCATTATCTAGTAGTTTGAGTTTTTCAGAGATTCAGGTAAATAAAACCATACAATATGTACTCTCTTTTGGTCTGGCTCCTTTTATTCAGTGTAATTATTCTGAGATGCATCCATACTGTTCCATATATCAATGTCTATTCCTTTTTATTGCGGAGTAGTATGCCATTGGATGGAAATACTATAACTGTTCATCTATTCACCTAATTGATAGATATGAGTTGTTTCCAGTTTTAGGCTATTATGAATAAAGCTGCTACAAAACATTTTGTATACATCTTTTTTTTTTAAAGGATTGTATGTATGTATGTATGTATGTATTTAAAAGTAAGCTCAATGCCCAAAGTGGGGCTCAAACTCATGACCCCAAGATCAAGAGTTGAATGCTCTACCAACTGAGCCAAGCAGGTACCCCTTATCTACACATCTTTATATGAAAAAATGCTTGCATTTGCCTTGGGTAAATACCTATGAGTGTAATGGCTAGATTATGTGGTAGATGAAGGTTTAATTTTTAAGAAACTGCCAAATTGCTCTCCAATATGGTTGTATTATTTGACATTACAATAGCAGCATATGAGATTTCAGAGCTTTTGTTCCTCCAACATTTAGTGTGTCATCATTCTAATAGGTATATGTTATCTCACTGTGGTTTTAATTTGTATTTCCCTATGACTGATGATATTGAACATCTATTCACATGTTTACTTGATACTTATACATTTTTGATTGTGTGTATGGTCAGATTTCTTGCCTACTTTTAGTTTGGGTTGTTTGTTTTCTTCTATTTAAGTACTAGAGTTTTTTTTTTTTTAATATTTTGAATACAAGTCCTCTATCAGATATATTTTGTAAATATTTTCTCTTTGATGCTTTTGTTTTCATTCTCTTAACACTGTCTTCTGAAGAGAAGTTTTAAATTTTGATGAAGTGCTTTTGGTTTCTTAGATCTTTGCCTAAATCAGCCATCAGGAAATTTTCTTAAAAATGTATAGTTTTCATTTAGGTCTACTTAAAATTAATTTTTGTATATGGAGTGGAGGTTCTTTCTCATTTTTTCTTTTGCACTTGGAAGCCAATTGCTCCAGTGCCATTTACTGAAAAGACTATCCTTTCTCCACTGAACTGTCTTTACTTCTTTATTAAAAATTAGTTGTCCTTAAATCTTTACATCTGTCTTTACATCTTTATTGAAAATTAGTGCCCAGGATCACCTGGGTGGACGAGTCAGTTGAGTATCCGACTCTTGATTTCACCTTAGGTTATGATTCCAGGGTCATGGGACTGAGCCCCATGTCGGGCTCCACACTGAGCATGGCGCCTGCTTAAGATTCTCATTCTCTCTCTCTCCCTCTCTGCCCCTTCCCTTACTCACACACTCTCCCTCCCTAAAAAAATAAAGAAATCTTTTTCAATTAAAAAAAAAAAAAAAGACTATTAGTTGTCCATATACTCTATTTTTGGACTTTTTATTCAGTTTCCTTCATCTATTTGCCTATCTTGAAACTAATACCACACTGTCTTGATTACTGTAGTTTTAATAAGTTTGATATGAGGCAGTGTCAACCTTTCAAGTTAGTTGTTCCAAAGATTTTTGGTTATTCTTGGTTCTTTGTATTTCAATATAAATTTTTAAATTTGCTAGCCAGTAACACATATGTAATAAATATAAAGACTTATTGAGATTTTGAGCTGGGTTGTGTTGTACCTACGGATCTATTTAGGAAGAGATGATATCTTAGATATATTGGGTTTTCTAACCCATGAACACGGCATATCTCTCATGCATTTGTCTTCTTTATTTCTCTCAGCAATGTTTTAGTTTTCAGTGTAAAGGTGTTATACATCTTCTATCAGATTTATCCCTACATATTTCAATTTTAATTATAAATAGCATTTAAAATTTTTTGATTTCTAATTATTCTTGATATATATATCGAAATGCGACTTGTTTTAAATGTTGATCTTATATTCTATAACCATGGTAAACTCACTTATTAGTTCTAGAGGCTATTCTAATGATTCATTGGATTTTTCTACACAGGTTATCATGTCATCAGCAAAAAACTCCACCAGTTTTAGTTCTTTGTTTAAATCTGAATGCCTTTTATTTCTTTATCCTACCCTCCTGCACTGGCTAGAATCTCTAGTACAATTTTGAATAAAAGTGGTTTAGATTGAATATCCTTTTTTGTCTCTAGTTAGGGAGAAGGCATACAGTCTTTCATCATTAAACATAATATTAGTTGTAGGTTTTTGCCTTTTATTAGGATAAGGAAGCTTTTTTGTTATTGATTTTCATTCCACTGTGGTCAGAGAACATATGCTCTATGACTTAAATCCTTTTAAGTTTTTACTGAAACTTATTTTATGACACAGAATATATCACATACATGTTTTTGGTATAACTATTGTGTAGATGTCATTTAATTTATTTTTTTTAGATGTAACTATGGCATTTTGGATGAAGTTCTGTAGTAGCCCAGGATATCTGAATCCCCTACCCCATATCATGAAATAAAAACCTCATCATCTGGGGAGACCAAGAAGTTAGGACGTCAATAAAAACAAACAAGAGAAGGAGTACAGAATAAGAGAAAGGTGAGAAGACATTATAATTCATCATGAAGTGAGATGTGGCACTTAATATTTTAAAAACAAAATAACAATAGTAATAACTACTTTTAACCTTTGGTTGACATATTTTAAGTAATGAAACTAGAATATTTTACCAGCTAAATATATTATGTTGATTATTAAATAGGCAACACCAACCAACCAGACAACTGGAATCAAATACTAACCTGAGCAGCTCCCAAAGGGGGAACACGTAAACGTTTCATAGCTTTTTGTCTGTCACCATCTTCAAGTTCATTAGTCACTACAGCCTAGAAAGACACACTGAATTTTAACACAGGCTATACTAACCTTGAGTAACACATAAGTAATTCTGAACCATTTTATATACATGGTATTCTGATAACCTCTTGGTGAATATATACTAAATAAAACAAAAGAAAAAAATCACGAATAAGATTATTATATTCAAAGCCAGCAAGTAATTACGAAGGGGGCATAGAGATAAGGAATTATTTCATTAAAAAAGACATTAATTTTATTGAAAATATGTGGTACATAAGTGAGATTACTGTACCTCAGTTTCAGAGATGAGCTGGTTGATTTTCTTGCACGTATAAAAAGGCGCCACTTCTACATGAGCCACTCGCCAATCTGCTCCACGAGATGTTTCCAGGATCTTGTCATGCTTTTTGAGGATTTTTCGAAACCCTGTAAAATTCAGATTCTACAGAAAGAAATAAGAAAAACTACTATAATTTCCACAACCATAAAAGAAGAAAAATAATATGCACTATGCATTGAAGGGCTGACTGAAGACTGAGTACTGAGGGAAATGGCAATGCTTTCATACAAGCATTTACTACTAAAAAGATAAGACTCTTCTTTCTTATTCCATCTTTTTATTTCAAGGTAGTATGCCATCAGTAATAAAAGAAGCCCTGAACTATGAATCCTAGTATTTCTATTTCAAGTAAATTAATAAAAGTCTTAAACTCAAAGCATCTTTACTTCCATTTTCTTGTGTACAATATTCTCAAAAAGGCTAGTTCATATTATTTTGCTTCATACTCAAAAGAAGACTGTCAGAAAAATTTTTGGATTCATCATATATTGAATACATTTATTAGTTTTGTTTTCTGAAGGACTGGTATAGCTATGTATTTTACCCCTAATGTGAACCAGCCTGGAAAAATGGAAAATCATCTATTTCTTTTAACTTTCATTTTGCTTCCATCCATTCTCAGTTTGGAGATGGGAGTGTGAAGAGAGTCAGCAGAAGTGATCCTATACACAGGGTTTCACTGATAGTGGGTAGGAGCTTGCAGTCTTTCTCCATTTCCACAATATCAAAATAGTATACTTTTCTACATTCTCAAATTGTCAGTTTTTTGATCAATATGCAAAAAAAAAGCAGGAGGGGCACCTGGGTGGCTCAGTCGGTTAAGCGTCCGACTTCAGCTCAGGTCATGATCTCACAGTCTGTGGGTTCGAGCCCCGCATCGGGCTCTGTGCTGACAGCCAGCTCAGAGCCTGGAGCCTGTCTTCAGATTCTGTGTCTCCCTCTCTCTCTGACCCTCCCCTGCTAATGCTCTCTCTCTCTCTCTCTCTCTTTCTCTCTCTAAAAAAAAAAAAAAAAAAAAAAAAAAAAAAAAAAAAGGCAGGAAACTGTGGATTTTCATGGTTCTTTAAACCAGAGGCCTCCCAAATTTGTTGACTACATAGCCCTATCAGTAAAAAAAACTGAGAACTCACTCCAAATTAGACTTTGCATGCTTGCTAGTTTGTATATATTTTTTTTCTCATACTTTAATAAATCAACTTAAACTTTCCTTGGTGTGCATACATCATGACTTAAAGACTGCTTTCAATTAGTTTTCCTTTCTCCTCACTCTCAATATAAACATATTCTTACAGAATAGACAGCCTCAGAGAATAGATCAGAACTTTCATAATTGACAATTATTTTTGTTTTCCCAAGGAGCTTTTTTTTTTTTTTAAATGTTTATTCGTTATTGAGAAAGAGAGAGAGATAAAGCATGAGTGGGGAAGGGCAGAAAGAGAAAGGGAAACACAGAATCCGAAGTAGGCTCCAGACTCTGGGCTGTCCACACAGGGCCTGATGTGAGGCTTGAACTCATAAACCGTAAGTTTATGACCTGAGCCAACGTCAGATGCTTAACCAACTGAGCCACCCATGTGCCCCAAGCAGCTTTTTATAATGACCCCAAAGAAGTGCCACTAGGGAAGTTAATAAAATAAAGTTTTAAGGGGTATTTCCCTGTAACACACAAGCATAATTAATGAAATATGAAACATTAATGTTTTATAACATTATAAGAAAGAATACACCTTTGTTTTTTTAAACATAAATTATAATGCTATTGATAAACTGCAAAGGAAAAGAATTTCTCATCGTATACTTTACTATTCTTCTTTGAATGATAAAATATTAAATTATCAAAGAAGAACTCAGAATTATGAAAGGGAAAGAGCTAGAAATAAGTACATGCATTAACAACTGGGATTACTGCATATACGAGACTAGGTCTTCTTACTTTAAAACTCCAATATTTACCCCTAGAATACTTTTGTTGTATAACCTTTAGTTTTCATCCTATGATGATTCTTTTTTTAATATTATTTTTTAACGTTTATTTTTGAGAGACAAAGACAGAGAAATGAGCAGGGTAGGGGCAGAGAGAGAGGGAGACATAGACTCTAAAGCAGGCTCCAGGCTCTGAGCAGTCAGCACAGAGCCCGATGCAGACGACCTGAGCCGGAGTCAGGTGCTTAACCGACTGAGCCACCCAGAGGCCCCCATCCTGTGATGATTCTAACCACAGATTAGAAGTACTGATCACAATAAAATAGAAAAAGAATAGCACATAGGGTCTCTTTAAAGACTAGAGAAGCTTTTGCCTGTTGAAATGTTTATTATTGAACAAATAATCTGTTTTTCAAGAAATTTGTTATAGATTTAACTATTTAAACACATCTGTAAAGAATTAGAAATTAATAAATGCCTTTAATTTCCATTAATTTAGTGTACATGATAGTAAGGCTTTACAGACTGGATTTTAAAAACAGTGAGTCATATATGATAATTGCATAGATATTCAGTCTCTATATATACTTGCTGTGACCTAATTTCTTTTCTCTCACAAGAATTCTTTTCTACTTAAAAAAAAAAAACTGTTTTAATTCTAGTGTAGTTAATATACGGCGTTACATTAGTCTCAGGTGTACAATATAGTGGTTCACTAATTCCACAGAGATTTTTCTTTTTATCATAGAGTCATATCGCAGTCTATGGATAATAAAATTGGAAAGATTCTTAGTGGCAAGTTGAAAAGTCAGTATCTTTTATAATATTATTAGTGCTAGTTTCAGGAAAGTTAACTGACGAAAGCCTTTGTGGAAATTTTGCTATAGGTGTGGAGAAATACAAAGCTCTTACATAGCCAGCAGTGGTTGGGTAGATATATACAATTTCTTATTTCTATTCACCACTACCAGAGATGCCTCTCAAAATAGGAAGCAAACTGAGTGAAATTGTGAATGTTGTACAAAAGGTTTTAGAAAACTGATCTTCAAAAACAGAAATCTTTTTAAAAACATTTTTTATGTGTATTTTTGAGAAAATGAGAGACAGAGTGGGAGCAGGGGAGGGGCAGAGACAGAGGGAGACACAGAGTCTGAACCAGGTTCCAGGCTCTGAGGTGTCAGCACAGAGCCTGATGTGAGGCTTGAACTCACAAATCGTGAGATCGTGACCTGAGCTGAAGTCAGACAATTGGTTAATCGACTAAGCTACCCAGGCGTCCCCAAAATAGAAATCTTGTTAACATACTATTTTGCTACCTTTGACATATGATTTTTAGCCCATAAGAACACCTGAAATCACATTAAGAACCTAAAAAATAATAGCTTGCTAGACTTCCCTTTTTGAATTGGCCCATTACTATAGTTCCAGGTTAATTCCAAATTTCTTAATTATTTGAAGATTCCATTCTCCAGGATAAAAACTGAAGTACCTGATAGTTCTGCAGCAGGATAAGACTGAGGTAGAACTCGCTGAAGGCCAGTTTAAGGTCTTTAATATTCCTATGTTGGACACGTTCCTCGTGGGACAAGTGGAAGACCGGCTTTCTGCGTTGTCGCAGTGTAGAGCCAGTGCTCTCTTTCTGTGCATCCAGTGATGACTGAAGCTCATTCTGAAGTGTAGCAAACCTGCGCTGAGCCTCTGCAAGCTTTTCTATTAAAAAAAGAAAAAAAAAAGAAAAAAGAATTTCCAAACATCAAGATTAAAAAGCTGGTAAAGTTCTCACTTCTGAATTTCTAGTATTTATTCTAGTTTGTTTCCCTAAAATTTCAGGAAAAAAAATGTTACATGTAATATTTAGAACTGGATAGGAAAAAAATGTTTTTGTATAACATTTCATTTTATTATTCTATCCCACATTTCCCTCCCTGTAAAACCTCAAGTGTACCCTTTGTTTTTACAGATGAATATACAGAATTTTTAAAAAGTCATGAAAAGTGACAAAATGGTACAGCCACATTATAATTTGGAAAACAGTCAACTGTCAAAAAGTTAAACATAGAGTTACTTACCTTAAGATGCAGCAATTTTACTCCTAGGTAGATACCCAAGAGGACTGAAAACACACATTCACACAAAAACTTGTACATAGGAGCGCCTGGGTGGCTCAGTCGGTTAAGCATCTGACTTTGGCTCAGGTCATGATCTCTTGGTTCGTGGGTTTGAGCCCCGCATCGGACTCTCTGCTGACAGCTAGCTTAGAGCCTGGAGCCTGTTTCAGATTCTGTACCTCCCTCTCTCTCTGACCCTCCCCTGCTCACGCTGTCTCTCTCTCTCTCTCAAAAAGAAATAAAACATTAAAAAAATTAAAAAAAAAAAAACTTGTATGTATACATGAATGTGTATTCACAATAGTAAAAAAACCTGAAAGAATAGTAAAAAAAAAAACCCTAAATATCCATCAACTGATGAAAGGATATGTGAAATATGGCATATATGTATATACACACACATATATATATATAACGGAAATATTATTTAGTCATAAAAAAGAACAAAGTACTGATACATACTACGACATGAATGAATCTTGAAGAAATCATGGTGAGTGAAAGAAAACAGACACAAAATGCTACATGTCATCTTATTCTTATTCCATTTATATGAAATGTCCAGAATAGGTAGACCCAGATAAAGTAGATTAGTGTTTGCCAGGGTCTAGGGGGTCGGAAGAATGGGGAACAACTGCTAATGGGTATGGGGGTTTTGGGGGATGATGAACATGTTCTGTAATTATATAATGGTTGTACAACTTTGTGAATATTCATGATTTGAATCTCTCTCATCAGGAAAAGCTCAGTCTCTCTTAATGGCTCATATGAGTAAGTCAGGCTCACTTGGGATAATCTCTCATTGTTTCTTTTTTTAATGCTTATTTATTTTTGAGAGAGCACATGCACGAGTGTGTCAGCAGGGGAGGGGTAGAGAGGGAGGGAGACACAGAATCCGAAGCAGGCTCCAGGCTCTAAGCTGTCAGGACAAAACCTGATGCAGGGCTTGAGTTCAAGAGCTATGAAACCATGACCTGAGCAGAAGTCAGATGCTTAACCAACTGACCCACCCAGGCACCCCGATAATCTCCCATTCTTAAAGTCAACTGATTTGGGACCTTAAATACAGCTGCAAAATCCCTTCACAGCCAATACCTAGATAGATGTTTGACTGAATAACTGGGAAAAGATAAAGAATACATCAGGAGGATAGGATCTCAGAGGCCTCCTTAGAATTATGCTACCATGTAATTCTGGTTGCAAATTTCTAGAGACTCCAAATGCCACTTGGTCCAGTAGTCAAATGGAGATTTATAGTGTTCAGATGACAATGGAATACTAACCCAGGTTTAACTTACAGTGGACCAGATGGTCCATGAACCCACTGTATGATTACTTTCCCAGTTCTAGAATGTATAACTAAAATAGAAACACCAAGACACTTGTACAAACCTCACACTGACTCTGACCCAGGTGTAAGGGCCATTATTGTAGGAAGGACCAGTGAAGTTCCTAGACTTCTCCCTATCAAGATAATAACCAAGAAGCAAAAATACATCCCTAGGGGAATTCCAGAGGTTAGTGCCACAACCAGAGGCCTGAAAGATACAGGGATGTTGATATCTATCACTTTCCCATTTAATTCATGTGTTTAGTCTGTGCAGAAGCTGGATGGATCTTGAAGAATGACTGTGGATTACAGCAAATTTAACCAGGTGTTCACTAATGGCAGCTGCTATTCTAGATGTGGTATCATCACTGGAGCAAAAAACACAGACTCTAGCACCTGGTATGCAGCTAGGCACCTAATAATGCAGCTTCTTATTTGGCAGCAGATGCCAGCATTGTCTCTGAGCCCCAGAAATGGCACCATTTCCCATAAGTACTGGTCAGCCACCTAGTGGCAGGTTGAATGCAACTGGATGCAGGGGGTAGGTATGTCCTCTATGGAATAAATGTATTCTTGATATGGTTGTGCCTTCCCTGCTCATAATGTTTCTGGCTAGCACCACTATTAACTGGAATGCCTTATGCATTTTCATGGCATACACACAGTTTCATTTCTGATTAAAAAAAAAACCACCTCATTTCACAGCAAAGGCAGTAAAACAGTAAGCATATCCATGGAATATAATAGTCCTACCACATATCCAGAAATTGCTAGCTCAAAGAAAGACTTATCAAAATGAGTTGTGAGACAAAATTCTTGAAGAATAGGGTTCTGCCTTACACGTTGTAGTATTAAGGCCATTATATTGATGCTTTCGCAAACACAGCCAAAATACAGAGGGATGGAAGTGGGAGTGGCTCCTTCACTACTATATTAAAAATTCACTCACTCAAATTTTTGCTTCCCAATGTGCAACTTGAGCTCTGCCTATTGGTTAGTTCTCAAGGAGAAATGCTTCTTTCAGAGGAATACAAGAACAGTTCTACTAAATCAGAAGATGAGAAACACCTGGCCATTTGGGTCTCCCTGAACCAGTAGGCAAAGAAGTTGTTTACTGGTTGGTGATTGATCCCAATTACCAAGGGGAAAGTGAATTGTTGATATACAATAGGAGCAGGGAGGACTGTGTCCATAACCCAGGAGACTCTCTGGAACAAATCCTAGCATTTCCATGACAAGTAATAAAAGTTAATGGAAAACTATAGATATAAAAAAAAAAAAGAATTATTGAGGATTCAGACTCATTAGGAAATGAAGTCTGGGTCGTTCTATCCACTAAAGAACCCTAGTCAGCTGGGCTTCTGGCTGAGGGCAAAGGTAATATGGAATGGACAGTGGAAAAAGTAAAATCATAGATACAAACTATGGCCTCCTGACCTTCATGCTCTTTTACATAGTTTATATTTTCTTCTCTCTTTTTGTTGCCTTCTGGGTAACTATTTCAGCTCTACGTTTAAGTGTATAAATTCTCTCTTAATCTCTACCTAATTTGGAAATTTAATTGGTTAAGATATTAATTTCAGTGGTTATATTTTCATTATTAAAAGTTCTAATTGGTTATTTTAAAAAGTCAATGTTGATAGTTTCCTTTTTGTTCATGGTTTTGATACTCTCTTCTATGCTTTTAGCCATATTAAGCATATATTTTATTTTGTATCTAATAATTTTGAATATTTTATGCATTTTACTGTTTTGTAGTTGAGAGGTTTTCAGGATTTCTTACTAATCTTCCATAGTGGAAGAAAAAGAACTATTTACCTATTTTCAAATCTCAAACTGAAAAGGCAAAATGAATCTCAAGTTTCTTATTGTAGAATCAAGCATTTCTATTGCAAAGTTGTTTATCTTATTATCCTTCTGATCAAAAACAATACAGAACTTTTTGGTTCTTTCTTGGTTCACTGTGCACCTAATGATTCAGTACTTTTCTCATGATCCTCCTAGATCAAAAGATATAATCTAACACTTCTGTTTTATAAACAACTTAAGTATTTATGTCCTAAGCACTTAAAAACCATTTGAAAAAATAGTATACACAAACACAATATATAATGAAATAATGTGAAACTTTATCCAAGGTCAACTATAAATTACTTTGCTAATTAAAAACCTTAGGTAACTTGTAAGATCCCAAACCCAGAAAATCATAAGTAATATGAATGATCAACTTTTACTGTGAAAAGATTGATATATGAATTTGCTATCTGTTTACCATCCTTAGCCTCAGTTGTCAATAAATTTTGTAATTATTTACATCTTTCATCATATGGATATTAAAAATGAAAATAGTCCAAAAAATGGAAAGAAAGAACTGTTACTTCCTGCACACCAGCAATGTCATGAAACAAATGCCTCCCCATCTGGCAAACTCCTTACTCATTTTACAAGGCTAATCTCAAATGTTATTTTCTATGTAAAGTTTTTCTTGCCTAACGACTCTCAGCTACAACTTGAAACTCCCTCTAAAGGGCTCTCATTAGACCACAAACATGCATATAAAGCACAATGAACATAATTCTGTTTATATATTTGTTTTATTAAATAGCTGTGAGCTCTCTAAGGCCAATGCATCTCTTGAGAGCAAAAAGAATCTTCATGTTTTAACGGTGAACAATTTTTTTTTTTAGATTGTACTGATTTTATTTATTTATTTTTAAATAGTTTATTGTTGAGTTGGTGTCTATATAACACCCAGTGCTCATCCCCACAAGTGCCCTCCTCCATGCCCATCACCCCCCTTCCCCTCTCCCCAACCCCCATCAGCCCTCATTTCTAATAGCTTTTTCAGGTATACTTTACACAGCATAGAATTCACCCATAATAAGCAGTTTGTTGATTTTTAGTAAATTTGCAGAGTTGTGAAATCATCAACACTATCCAATTTTAGAACACTTCCAACATCCCATACACTTCTGTCATGGCCACTGGCTGTCAATCCTCATTCCCACCCCTAGCCCCAAGTAACCACTGATCTGCTTTCTGTTTCTATGTGCTTGCCTTTTCTGGACATTTTTATAAAGGAATCATACAATATGTCATCTTTTGCATCTGTCTGGCTTCTTAGCATAATGAATTTGAGGTTCATCCATAGGAGTTTGTTCTTTTTATTGCTGAATTATACTTTGCTGGGTGGCTAGACCACATTTTGTTTAAATATTCATGTTGATGTACAATTGAATTGTTTCTATTTTTTTACTATATAAATCCTGCTA